TGGCTGCAATGTCCTCCTTTATGGCCTAGCAAGGCTGTTCCTTCCTTGGGGGTACGGGGTGTCAAAGAGCCAGTCATTGAGTTCATGTCAGAAATAATTCTTGTTCCCCTAACTAGGGAACCCACTTGGATACTGAGCTACCATGGGCTACATCCGAGCAGGGGTTCTAGGTTATATCCATGCGTAGTCCTTGTTTGGAGAAACAGTCTCATAGAAGACCCCTGTGCCCTGATATTTGGTCCTTGTGGAGCTCCTGTCCTCTCTAGGTCATACTAACTCCTCCTTCTTTCATATGATTCCCTGCACTCTGCTGAAGGTTTGGTTATGAGTCTCAGCATCTGCTTTGATACACTGCTAGGTAAAGTCTTTCAGAGCCCCTCTGAAAGTAGGCTCCTGTCCTGTTACTTGTTTTTTCCTACTTCCAATGTTGATCCCCTTTGTCTTTCTAAGTGAGGATTGATCATCTTACCCCCGGTCCTCTTTCTTGTTTGTCTTCTTTAGGTGTACAGATTTTAGCATGTTTATCCTATCTTATAGGTCTAGTACCCACTTATAAGTGAGTATATACCGTGTCTGACACAGTTTCTTTATAGACTGAAATTTTTTAATGTATTGGGCTTTACACTTGCCGCTTGTTTGTGTTTTTGTCATACAGCTCATTTTCTCACTTTATTTCAGCTCTTTCTGTTCAACACTGTGTTTACTTGTTGGTTTTATTTATTTATTTGCTCTTAGTTTCTTTAGAAATTATATTTGTCCATGACTTAATACATTGTAATATAAAATTATTACTTTATAAATTCCAGTGAGTATGAAGAGCTGTGCCGTGTTATTTGTCATGTGCTTCTTTAAGCGTAGCTGAATTTTTACAGTATTTTAATTCTAGATATAACTTGAATTCCATCATTTTTTATTATGGTTATTTCTTGCCTTTAATTATTTGGATATTGAGGATAAAACTGTGTAATAAGATATAATGATGACCGAGGTCTGTTTCCAAAACATCAGCTGTCTGTCAAGGTCAGTGAGCATCAGAAGATACTGGCAGTGACTACAGCATGGAGATCTGGGACTCTGCTGGATACAGATCTTAGGAATCATTCTATTTTATTGACAAGCATGTAATATCAGTGATCTTGACTCTAATACTTGGACTATTTTATAGCCATTTTGACACCTTTATCAACCTCTTTTGTTTCTTGCTCACAACAGGATCTGTTGATTAACTTTGCTTATAAGTGATTTCAAACCATCCATAATACTCATTTCTTTGATTGAAAAAAGTGAGGTAGGCTTTTCCCCCTTATAACATAGTAGATCTTAAAAACAAGCTTATAACAGAGAGTAATTAAAACATATAAAAGTAGAATAATCTAAAGTATTTTTCGTCTTCGTTTTGAAATATTTTAGAATTAGGTTTTTGTTGTTGTTTTTCATTTCAAGATGCAGAAGCCTAACTCAAAGAGCTAATACAGAAAGGGAGACAGCCTGTGCTGGGAAATACCCATAATCCTGTCATTACGGAGAGTAGAGGCAAGTGGACCACAGTTCAAAGCTGATTTGGGTTACGTGATAAGATCTTGTTTCCGGAGTGGGGGGGGGGGGAACAAAACCAGAAAGAAAATAATTTTCAGGTAAATTGAGAGCAAAAGTAGGCATAGCAATATTTAGGATCTCAAATATTGTAACTGTACTTATATTTTTCTTTGTCTCTGCCTCTGTCATCTTTGTCTTAGAATACTAATGTAACCTATTCTGTTACTCAGACACTGGAGCTGAAGGGGCTGGAACAGTGCTGCCTGCCCCAGAAGTGCTGTAGGCAGTATAGAAGTGGTAGTAGGGCCGATTTGTATCTCAAACCTCAGCAGTACAGAGTCCAGGAAATGTACTTTGTAACTGTCCTCTATAGTCACAGGAGAGCACAAAGCATGTGGGGTGAGCCCCTTTGTGGCTTCAAGTGTGATCTGTTTTTTACCTGTTTACACCTTACTACTGCTGGTTCCCAGGATGGAATTCACTATATACACCACCTCAGATAGTGCTACCATCGTTCATATGCATGAAAACACAGCTTTGGACCAAAAAGATGCAACCCAGATTCCATATTTGCTAATGTCAATTCCTCATGATACTCATCTTGATTTCTTGCAGTTCTGGTGCTGAATTAGCTTCCATAACCATGCCTGTGTAAAATTATTGAGGGAACCAGAACAGAAACTTGATGTTTATATAAGCACACAAATATACATGCACACATAAAACTCAGGAGGGACTGTGTATAGGCAGCTAAAACAGTTATCTTGTTGGGAGTTGCTGTTACATTTGTAACTTCATCATTTATTCCACGTTTTCAACAACAGTATATAAGATAGAACGGTATTTTGTCATGGTAGTAATTCAGAACATTACTCTTAAATCATTGAGAGTTTGGTAGTATTTCCTAATAAACCCTTCTTTTTTTTTTCATTTTTAACTTTTTATTGATTCGTTGTGAGTTTCACATCATGCACCCCAGTCCTGCTCATCTCCCTGTCCCTTCATATCTTCCCTTTGCCCTTGCAACCTCTCCAAAATGAAAGACACACAAGTAAAACAAAACGAAAAGCGTAGAAAACATCATATCATGGAAGTGGTAGTATGTTACAGTATGTCCAAAGTATATCTCTTTGTCTACACATCTTTACTTGCAAATGTTCATTGCAGTGAGTCACTGGTCTGGTTCAAAATCTCTGGTTTCTGTGACCCCATCAGTATTAGATCCTCATCAGAACTCCTCCCAGTAATCCTGTCATTTCTCTATGTCATAGAGATTGTGCAGCTTTGGATCAGCAGGACTAGATCTTCACAAATCTCAACAGTTTGGAGATGATACAGATTTGGGGATGGGCCATCTTAGAGCCCTGGGTCTCGGCATGGGTGGTAACTGACCTGGACAGCCCACTGGCTCTCCCTTATCTGCACCTTGAGGGTGAGCTTTCCAGCACTGCTCTGGCTAGGCCACCCAATGCTGCTCTCAGTAGAAGGCATGGCCAAATCTCCTACTTTCATGCCTTCAGCGTCTAGCCCACCCACCCCCAAGTGTCTAGAGCCACATCTGTTGCTTGTTCCTCCTTGCTGCTGCTGCCAGAAGTGCATGCTCCTCCTGAGGAAAATGGTTGGAGACTTCCACAGTGCTACAATTAGCTCTTTTTAATGAGATGGCCCATATCAGACCTCAGGGAAGCTCCAAAGCCAGTGATGATACCTCAGTGTTAACAGCAGAGGACACAGTCAGACATTCGCGCCTTGTTGGTTCACGGCTGGAATGCAGGTCCAGCTGCTGTTCCTTAGCTGTCAGTGGCTTGCTTTCTCTTCAGTGGTGACAGAAGCAGCTCTGGCTGCCTGGCTGGAGGCCAAGCCCTGAGGGTCCAGTGGCAAATTCTTCTGGGAGGAGGGGAATCTTTCCTTCCCCAGAATAAATGATGAGTCTCAGACAGTCATGGTAGAGGAATGGAGTGAGAGAGTGAGCAAGTGAGCATTTATTTAATGAATCAGGGATATTATAGGCCTTGGGCAGTGGGAGGGGTCTCAAGGCGAATATGTTTACTTCTCTGGGGCTAACGGTGCTAGGAATACTTTATTTACATGTAATTGTACACAGTGCATAAAGAGGAACACAGTAATTATTCTGTAGTTGGGGGAAGAACTTTAGGTATGGTTAAAGGTCATTTGTTGAAAGCTCCGGTCTCATTATCATAGGGTGGGGTATTTCCAGGAATCCCCTGGTTCACACTGACCAGATTTCTTATCAGGAAAGGTTGGGTCTGTAATCTTCCCTGAAGGCTAAGTGACTCACCTTAGAGGATCTGGGGTTTCCCCAGATCTGGGAGAGAAGAGGGAACCCAGATGAGAAAGGGAGTCTGTCTTTTTTGCACTGAGCTCAGGGGCTACCTGGTATTGCCAGACTTCAGCCTTAACAGCAGGGTTGGACATCCACAGTGCTGCCCAGGCGAGGGGCCCACTCTCCCAAGTGCAGTAGCCTGTGAGGGGCTGGGCCAGCTCTCCAGCCTAATGCAGGTGGCAAGTGGGGAGGGAAGAAGGGCATCACCCCCACACCACCTCACTGAAGACAAGTAGTAGGTCCAGTTCTCCCTCTCCACACTCTAGCCATCGGGGTTGGCACACGTGTACTCCCACCACCAGGGTCAGCTCTGCTGTGCTGTTCAGGGGAGGCTCAGGACCTACTCTCTAGAGTGCTGCCACTGGTCAGGGGAAGGGCTTTCTATCCTTAGAGTTCATGACTCTGGGCAGCTTTCCCAACTGCCTGAGGTGGTGAGGGCATGTGGTGGGGGTGGGGCATTACCTCTGCACCTGTGCCACTCCATAGCAGATGAGTGGTGGGGTCCGCTCTCCCACACTCACATCCTCTGATGGCTCACCCTCACCCCTGTCATCAGGGCCAGCTCCTCTGTACTGCCAGAAGTGAGATATGGGGCCAGCTCTCCAGAGTGCCATATCTAGTGAGGGGTGGGGCCAGTTCTGCACAACCATTGAACATCCAGGCTGCCCCCACCAGAGACAGTCTCCAGGTTCTCTAGTGGTAATATGAGTCATGGACATTGACACCAACTCCTGCCATTATATAGCCACAGACTGCTTGGGCTGGAAGCTCACCATGGCCCCAAGTGGCGGGGCTGGCCACTCACAACCAGCTACTCCTCTCCACCCTTGATTCTCTAGTTCCATCTGTCTTTCTAATGCTCAAGTTGCTCCACTTCTCTTCCTCTCCCATCTGACTACCACATACTTGCACATGTGGTGGCTCCTGCTTAACGCTGACCACGTGGCCATGTGGGTGACATTCTCCATCCACATTGTGTGGTGTGTTGGCAAGCAGGTATCTATGGCCCGCTTGTGCCATGCAATGGAGGGAGGGTCTGTCGGTGACATAGTGATCCGCAGGTCTCTATCTGTCGTCATCCTTCCAAGCTACACTACCTGGATTTGATTTGATTTGATTTTCATGAGCCCTAGGCACAGAACACCTTTGGCCAGCAAGCCAGGCATCAAGCTAGGATGAACAAAAAACTTCCATCTGCTCTGCCCCTGACTGATAACAAAAATACCACCAACAATGTGTCTCTTTGCCCATTGCCAGGGGGAATGATAAACCCTTCTTAAGCTGAAAAATATTTTAAGTAAGAATGTATTGAGCACCATGATCACTTAGCAACACAGTATATAAGAGTATCATGAGGTCAGTTGGGAGCTGCACCTCACTGCTGTTGCCCAGCATCTCAAAAAAGTATCTTAATGCATATTGCCAGCCTGGGAAAAGATGAAAATTCAAAATTTAAAATAAGTTTCTACTGAATGTGTGTTACTTTTGTACCCTTATAATTTGAACCTTAGTAAATCAAGGGTCATATTGGATTGCTGAAGTCATCTGTTTTTGTCATCAGTATGGAAACTACAAGATGATATGCCCAAGATTGCATGGGTCTATAACACACTGCACGTCTCCATCTTATGGCAGGAAATGATGCCTCACTGATGAGTCACCCAAAGATAGAAATTTCTCTCTTGCCTATTATTTCAGTGAAATGAGGCATCCAAAACACCCAGGTGTCACTCTCAAGTCTTTGTCAAAAAATTGATTATGTCTCCTTGATAGAAGCCATCTCTCCCAAGGACTTAGTTTTACAAAACATTAGAGTTCAGAGTTACAAGACAGAAAGCAGGCTTGTGAATAAATAAATATGGAGCTATATTCCAGCTACTTTAACATACTTAGTTTTTTAACATTGGGTGTTTGATATTAGACTGTTTTCTAAACTTGTTGGTTTCATAGTTATGGTCAACCTAGCAGCTGTGGCAGACTTGTCATTGTTGTACAGACAGATACTGAAACCAATATCCACAGGTTGGAAGAAAATACAGGAAGTGGTAAAGCTCTGCAAGAAATACTTCAGCATTGAATGTCTATATTATTATCATATTGTAAAAGAAAATAAATAATGATATAAAAATTCAGTTTTGACTGAGTCACAGAATGATTCAGGAGTTAGGTTTTGAATGTAAAGGGTTTTGGGTGAATTCTTTAGTATTTTTGTTTAATGTTTTTTTTTTCATTAACATATACATGTTGAAGAGCAATATAAAATTATATTAAAGTCTAAAGAGTTCTCTTAATAAATGACTATAAAAGTGTAATTAATAAAGCATGTCATAGTTAAATCAGTAGACATTGTCTTCTTTTACAGTACATGATAATCTTACAGGGAATGATAATCTACAGAAATTATCTTAACTTCACTGAAATAGAGTATTGAGGCCTGCCTGTACCATCTCTACTCTGTAGTTCCCAAATACATTTTTGCAGTTGAAGAAATGGCACTATTTGCCAGTCCTTGGTAAGTTTCTTTCATATGTGAGCTTTAAGATTTCAGAGAATTGATAGGAACCTGTACTTACTGAGCCAGGCTTTCACCATAGAGCTCAGGCTGGCCTTAAATTGTTCTCGTGCCTCCATTTCCTTGACTTATGAGTATAACCACCATACCCAGCCAGTTATCTGCCTTTACTTTCTCTCTTTCCTTCTTTCCTCTTTCTTTCTTCCTTCCTTCCTTCCTTTCTTTCTTTCTTTCTTTCTTTCTTTCTCTTTCTTTCTTCCTTTCTTTCTCTCTTTTTCTCTCTCCCTCTCTTTCTTTCTTTCTTTCTTTCTTTCTTTTTTTCTTTCTTTTTCTCTTTCTCTCTTTCTCTCTCTCTGTCTTTCTTTCTTTTTTCCAAGACAGGGTTTCTCTGTATAGCTTTGGCTGCTCTGCACTCACTTTGTAGACCAGGCTAGCCCCCCACTCACAGAGATCTGCCTGCCCGTGCCTCCCTGAGTGCTGGGATAAGGGTGTGTACCACCAACACCTGGCTTAATTATTTCTTTAGATGTTACTGATTGTCTGTTCTCTTCCCCATTTTTTGTACTGACTATACTTTACTGACTATACTTTTACAAGACTATGGCATTATCTAAAATACCTCACTTATTTATTTAAATGTTCTCTCCAGGACCTAAAAGAAAGAATCATGCCTTATTCATTGTATGAATCTCTATGTAGCATAATGCTTACCAAATGGCGGGCAAAATCTGGAGTTTGATTGAATTAACTACCCTAACCAGAACATGTTTAGTGCCTCAAAATAAATATTCTGAACCTTAATGCTGAAGTCCTCAGACATAATCTGTAATATTTACCTATGAAGTATAATGGTTTAATGGATTAAAAAAAGAATCAAGTGTTTGATGATTAAATGTGGGCTAACAGCACTAACCCAGGTGAAAGAGCTTCAACCCTTGTAATAATCTAGTTAATGATATACATAATTTTATGTAGAAATATTTTTTTCAGACTGGGCATGGTGACTCTACCCATAATTCCAGGAGATAGAGGCAGGAGAATAGACAGTTTTAAGGCCAGCCTGAGTTATATGGTGAGAAACTGTCTCAGAAATAATGTATATATTTATATTTTATATATCATATATAATTTTTTTTTACAAATTCTGACTGAAGAATGTACAGGCAGGAAAGGAAAATTATTATATAAAATGGCTACATTCTTCTTTCCTAATGAAAATAGTAAGGAAGCTTAGCAGTGGTGGTGCACACTTTTAATCCCAGCACTTGGGTGGCAGAGGCAGGTGGATCTCTGTAAGTTCAAGACCAGCCAGGACTGTTATACAGAGAACCCCTGTCGCAAAAACAAAATAAAAACACAAAACAACAAAAAATAAAAACACAAAACAACAACAGCAAAATGAGCCAGGCACAGTGGCATACACCTGTAATCCCAGTACTCTGGGAGGCACAGCAGGTAGATCACTGTGAGTTTAAGGCCAGTCTGGTCTACAAAGTGAGTCTAGAGCATCCAAAATTACACAGAGAAACTCTGTCTTAAAAAACAAAAAGAAAAAAGTAAGGAAATATAAGAGGCTCTAGGGGTACTTGATTCTCTAAGACCAACCAAGGCTGAGAACCCGAGTTCCAGGACCAGGATTCCATGGTGAAGGGCAAAAATTCCTGAAAGTTGTCTTCAGCCTTCGAAAATCCTGAATGGATAATTAGAAGAATGTTTATGCACATAATACCTGAATAGAAAATCAGAAGAAAGTTTATCATACACTGTAGTTTACCAAACTCCAGACACCACCCTAATCATTTTTCATGGGTTACTCCACTTGAGTACAATGCTACAATCCCTGCTTTACATGCAAAGATGGTGGTACTGGGAAAGGTTAATACACTCAAGGCACACAGACAGAGCCTGCCTAGAACTGGTGGTCGGAGTGGACAGAATGTTCCTGTCTGGTGTCCTAAGTGACAGCAGGGCAACACAGCAGAGAGAAGAAAGACAAAAGCTATGAGCATCCCTGAGTCATCTCTTTGGATTTCCGTAAGCCCCTCTGGCAGGCTTATCATGGACAACTGACCTATTTTGCTTCTCTGTTGCTGTGATAAACATCATGACCAAAGCAGCCTGAGGGAGGAAAAGGTTCATTTGGCTTACACTCCAGAAAACACTCCCTCACCAGTAAGAGCAGTACATCATTCCAGTCCGTTTTCAGTGTGAGACACATTTAGAGCTCATCAAAGAGTCATAGAAAAGCAAGAGGTGCTGGACCTTCTTACCCCTAGGAGCTGCCTGCTTGTCTTAGAACTCTCTGATCTTGGAAGCTGCAGGCAATCTGCTTTGTGATGAGTGCCAGAGTACTCACTAGCTAAGGCTTTGTGTCCTAAACTAACAACATGTGTAAGTTGGGCAAGGGGCTATGTTAAAAGAATTCGAGGTTGTGGGTCTCCAAATTATCAGCTGATGGGAAAAAGAGCATGGATTTCTTGAGATTAGGAACTTTTAAAATCACTGTCTTATACCAATCTTCATAGCAGCCATTTTTGCCTTTCTATATGCTGGAGTCTGTTTCTGCAGGAGGGTGTATTAGAAATGGCTTCATTTTCACTAAGGGGAAAAAAAGATTTCAGAGCATTTCTGGCTTTCTTGGTGTCTTAGTTAGGGTTTTATTGCTGTGAAGAGACACCAGGACCAAGGCAACTCTTATAAAAGAAAACATTTAATTTGGGGCTGGCTTCCAGTTTCAGAGGATTCGTCTGTTATCATCAGGGCGGGAAGCGTGGCAGCGTGCAGGCAGACTTGGTGCTGGAGAGGCTGAGAGTGCTACATCCTCATCTGCCGGCAGCCTAAAGGGGTCTGTGCTCCACAGGGGGAGTAGCTCGAGCATAGACACTACCTCAAAGCCTGCCTCCACAGTGACACACCTCCTCTAGCAAGGCCACACCTCCTAACAATGCGACTCTTTGTGGCCCAACATTCAAATACATGAGTTTGTTTGGGTCCATACCTATTGAAACCACCACACTTAGTAATAACTGATTTTAAATTAATTTTTAATTAGTGTTTATTAATCCTTTATCTTTGTTGTTCTACTGACCATTGCAGTCTGTGTGTCTTTGTGTTTTTCTAACACGTTAATATTTTTTAATTGATTGTGTAACTGAGTATTCTCATTGGAATTTTTCCCTACTTAATGCTTTGATATGATCTGCAAACTTCTTTTGATTCACTTTCCTATGTAAGAATATGGGTAGTTTATTGATCTGTGGCTTAGTGTTAATAATCTGACATTTCATTGTATTTTTTTAATTACACTTTATTTACTTTGTATCCTCTCTCTAGTTCCCTCCCTTCTCCCCTCCCAATCCCTCCTTTCCTCCCCCTTCTCCACACACTCCCCTCCCCAACTCCACTGGTAGGGGAGGATTTCTTTTTCTTCCTTCTGATCCTAGTCTGTTAGGTCTCATCAGGAGTGACTGCATTGTCTTCCTCTGTGGCCTGGTAAGGCTGCTCCCCCCTCAGGGGGAGGTGATCAAAGAGCAGGCCAATCAGTTCATGGCAGAAGCAGTTCCTGTTCCCATTACTATGGAACCCACTTGGACACTGAACTGCCATGGGCTACATCTGTGCAGGGGTTCTAGGTTATCTCCATGCATGGTATTTGGTTGGAGTATGAGTCTCAGGAAAGACCCCTGTGCTCAGATTTTTTGGTTCTATTGCTCTCCTTGTGGACCTCCTGTCCTCTCCAGCTCTTACTAT